GAAAACACTTATTTGAGATTGGAGAGATTGTCCTCGTCTTCGTTGCACAGAGTATTCCGACCCGAGGTAAGCAAAAATGTAAAAAAAAAATTCCAAAAAGAAGCTCCTCCACCCGATCTCAGGGGAAGATGTGATGATATCATTGACAAGAGTGGGATTCGAACCCACGCCCTTTCGGACTACGGAATCAATGAGATAATTAACTCAGGATTAAGGGTTAACCTTAACGTAGCGCCTTAGACCGCTCGGCCATCTTGCCTTTTTGTTTGTTCGTTTGATGAAAATTCTGATGTGGTTGTGTGGGTTATGACATGGGGTTTGATGGGGCACTGGATGGAGTTTTGGACAGGGGACTCTGGTCTGTTTTTTTTGGGAAACCCCCTGTTTGGATTTTGGGACAGCCACCGGAAATGGCAAGCATAGAGGCAAGCGGGATTTGTTAGCTGGTTATCTTCAACCAGGCCAAACATAGTGGCACTAAGATGGTGATACATCTGAGTCTTCGCTTGTCATGTGAGAATTGGATTACTTGCACGCAACAACGACGGAACTCACATCGGCATCCCATCTGCCACATCAAGCAATGATGCTCAGCACAGAATTTCAAACACAAAAATATCCGTTTCTCATGTCTAACGCGGGAGTGTACCTGATCAATTGCTATCTCACCACCTTGTAGGCCTTCAAGCTGTATAACCACATATCTAAAACTCCAAAGATGCTCGCTGACACTGATTGACAATGATAGGGTATACGCTGCGCTCAACAATGTTTTGACATTTCCCTCCAACGCTGCGAAAACAAAACAGAAGAAAAACAAAATGAGTGGAAACTTAGATACAAACCCACAATTACTAAATGTCCCACGAGCTCTCCCGCCCTATTTCTCCTCGATAATGGGGCCTCTAAGAGTCTCGGGCTCGGGCTTCGCTATCATCTCTTCTTGAGAGATACTCGAGGGCCGTCCCCGGGAAATAACTCCTGCTCCGATGAGACCTGGTCAACAGATGCACCAGCCTCAG